GCACAAACCTGGTGTCATCCACAAACTGCATAAACTTCACCCCCTTGCTCCCTCTTTCAATCAGTCAGCCCATCATGGGACTCTACTTTGAACGTCCTTAATAAATGAGCCCTTTTTATGAAGTACCGAGCATATGCAATTCCCAGGCAGCCCATAAAACTTTTTCCTGAACTCAGGAACCAAGGTGCAATTGACTTCAATGGTACATAGCTAGCATCACAGCTCTGTGGATGCTCTGCTTGCCTGGATACACAGGTGCCTTCAGATAGTCAGGATTCAGGCTTCAGTCGGAAAACATCAGGTTTAAGACAAGCAAATTCATCTTCTGTGAGCTGTGCAAGGCAGCTTTAGCGCTGCCTATCTGCCGAAACCAAGCTGAGATGAAAAGGCAAAATGCTTCCTTTCCCATAGCCCAGCAATGATAATATTTTTCATATCAGGTTCTTTTTAGTATGCCTGCCTATTTTATTTGGATAGGAAACAAGTTTTTCTGACTACTTCATCTCCATAATTTCTTCCCTCCCTTGTCAGCTTCTTTTTTTCCATAAGCTCTGAGAAATGAAGAGTTCTTCCCTCTTTGTCACTGAAAATAAACAGCTATTCCATGTGAGCTTGTGCTTCAGGAAGCAAAGGTGAATCTACTATTCCCCTACACACTGAATATTGAATGTTGGGTCTTTTGGGTGTGAGGGTGCTTTCTCTGTCCTGTCAAGGGTGGAACCAACGGTGAAATGCCTGACAAAGGTCAGTGAAATTTTTAATCCTGTTACATATCAAAGCCAGCATAATGCCAGGGCAGGCTTCACTGCTCACCAGGAGGTCCCTCATCCTCACTGGGAGCCCCGGATGTCTTTCCTGTTCTCCACTGGGAAATACAGGCTAGCCATCTTCTAACGGTTAGGGAAGCTGGAGTGACAGTTAATCACTCCATGGTGGACCTAATGTAGGGTTAATGTAAAAGTGCTAAAACAAGGCAATACGTTAAGTTTAGGAGAGCTTTGCCTTCCTCTTAAAAACAGAATTGGGAATGCTTTATACCAAATTGCCCAAATAGGTAGGGAAATGGGAAAAAAAGTCAGAAATTATTAGGACTTGGTGAAATGAACACAAGGCATTTGGAGAGTAAGTGGTCTGTGGCCTGAAGGAAAGAAAATCTTGTATCAGGCAATGACAAGATGATGTGTAAATGCAGATGGAGAAGAGATGATGAAGTTTGGGGTGGTATGTTCTTAAAGGCCAGAGGAAAATGTTATCATGGCGTGGGGCCTGCTATCAAAGGCTCAGTCTGAAATCTGTGGAAGTGAATACAGTCCAGTCTGATGTCCTATCATTGACGCCGAGGAAGACAAGAGCGAGCTGAAAAACAGGTTGCAGTCAATCACGAACAAAATACCAACACAGACATGTTACTAATAACAGAAAAGTTCAGTCCTAAACTGGAAGATGCTGTTAATCCGAAAGTTGCAAACACACATTGTCAGTGAAAAGGGGAAAAATTTCATCCTCGCTGGGAGCCCCGGATGTCTTTCCTGTTCTCCACTGGGAAATACAGGCTAGCCATCTTCTAACGGTTAGGGAAGCTGGAGTGACAGTTAATCACTCCATGGTGGACCTAATGTAGGGTTAATGTAAAAGTGCTAAAACAAGGCAATACGTTAAGTTTAGGAGAGCTTTGCCTTCCTCTAGAATTGGGAATTGGGAATGCTTTATACCAAATTGCCCAAATAGGTAGGGAAAAAAAGTCTATTCCCCTACACACTGAATATTGAATGTTGGGTCTTTTGGGTGTGAGGGTGCTTTCTCTGTCCTGTCAAGGGTGGAACCAACGGTGAAATGCCTGACAAAGGTCAGTGAAATTTTTAATCCTGTTACATATCAAAGCCAGCATAATGCCAGGGCAGGCTTCACTGCTCACCAGGAGGTCCCTCATCCTCACTGGGAGCCCCGGATGTCTTTCCTGTTCTCCACTGGGAAATACAGGCTAGCCATCTTCTAACGGTTAGGGAAGCTGGAGTGACAGTTAATCACTCCATGGTGGACCTAATGTAGGGTTAATGTAAAAGTGCTAAAACAAGGCAATACGTTAAGTTTAGGAGAGCTTTGCCTTCCTCTTAAAAACAGAATTGGGAATGCTTTATACCAAATTGCCCAAATAGGTAGGGAAATGGGAAAAAAAGTCAGAAATTATTAGGACTTGGTGAAATGAACACAAGGCATTTGGAGAGTAAGTGGTCTGTGGCCTGAAGGAAAGAAAATCTTGTATCAGGCAATGACAAGATGATGTGTAAATGCAGATGGAGAAGAGATGATGAAGTTTGGGGTGGTATGTTCTTAAAGGCCAGAGGAAAATGTTATCATGGCGTGGGGCCTGCTATCAAAGGCTCAGTCTGAAATCTGTGGAAGTGAATACAGTCCAGTCTGATGTTCTATCATTGACGCCGAGGAAGACAAGAGCGAGCTGAAAAACAGGTTGCAGTCAATCACGAACAAAATACCAACACAGACATGTTACTAATAACAGAAAAGTTCAGTCCTAAACTGGAAGATGCTGTTAATCCGAAAGTTGCAAACACACATTGTCAGTGAAAAGGGGAAAAAAAAAATCCCTATGGCTTTCTTTTCTAGGAGGAAGCATACTCATATCACAAAGTCACCAGGTTATCCCTGGCTGGGGAAACAAGGAAGTGAACCAAAATTGCCCAGGCTGCCAAGCAGAGAAGAACAACTGTGGGCAACGCCAAGGTAAAAGCGAGGAGCTGTGCCCAGCCATGGGGGTCACTTCAGTGCCATCAGCAACCTCACAATGAAGCAATTGTGGACAGCAGAGGAGGCAGAACGTGGGGGATCTGAAAGATGCAGTTGTCTAAAGCTACCCATTTCCATCAGCAACAGATTTGAGGTCCTTTATTCAAAGGTGGGATGATATTGGATGAAACCTGAAGGTGTCAGACAGCAGTGTACTAAGCAGCTTCAGACAAATTCCTACAGGAAGAAATAAACAAACAAGAAGGACTCTTGGCCTGAATTTGATGTTCTTTCATTCATACAGTTTCATTAGCAGCCAAAATTGTCCTGCGGGCAGTGCAGGCTCTTCTTCCTCACACCGCTTTTCCAGCTTCTCTGACAGGAGTTAATGACTTGCCAATTGTCTTAGGCTCATTAGCAGCATAATTTCACATGGTTTACCTTTCCTGCTGCTATGTCTGAGGCCCAAATCCTGGCTTACCAGTCCTTGTGAACTAACTCTTCCTGTTGTAAGAAAACCCTTGGCCGTGTATTAAAGGGAAAAGATACCTTTGGAGGGGTTTTTTTTCTCCTTTTTTTCAGGAACATTCTTCACTCATCCACCTTGAAGCTGATTTAAGCTGGGAGACCTGCTCCTGCAATCTGGCAGCTGGCTTAAAAACCAACAGGTTGCAAGATATCTTCTCAGGAGTATTCAAATCACACATGACAAGCTCAGTGACACAGGGTTCACTATTCTCATTTTATATTTATGCCTGTCACCTACTCCTTCACTTAATCTATTTCCAAAATACCTATAACTGGTAGCACATTTTCTGAAAATAATTTGAAATAGCAAACCTAGACATTTCCCACGAGAATCCCCAGGAAGAAAAATGTAGGTTTTATCAGCATTAATTCTTAGATGGCACTTTTCCCCAAGAATTATTGTTTCCCTAAGAAGTGGTTTTGAGGCAATTTTACAATATAACTTAAAACATGCTGCACATTACTCCAGATTTCATACTTTTTATGAAAAGGGAAGACTAGCATTCAACAAAGCATACTTTGTACTTGTCTTGCTTATGGCTATTTTATAGACCATAACTTTTCTAAGGAAGCACAATCCACCAAACCTAGCTGGAAAGGACTAGTGTTCCAAGCAGTTATTTCTAGTTGAAAACAAACTAAAAATTGATCCCTGATGTAGCTCTGCTGGTGCCGTGTTAATGAACTTCCAGCCCAGAGAACGTCGTCTTGGCCACATTGCTTTCCCAGTTGCCTCAAATGATAGATGATGCATTTCCACTGTTGTTGCACTGTAAGTAGAACAACAACCATATGCGTAATGCCACTCAGCCTGTAGTCTCTGGAAAAGGTTAGGAATGAATACAAAAGGAACAAAAAAAATAAAGGACTAGGACCAGCATACAGTGCTGCTCCTCCTGGTGTGCTCTTCTGGCTTCTAGCAGCCGGCAGCACAGAGGTTTCTAGAGTCAAGTACAAGGATGTGCCTGCAGCTCTGTGTTTATTAGCCCTGATAGCCTTTCTTCCATGAGTCTAAGTGCTTTTGAACTAATTTAATCTTTTAGCCTTCACAGCATCCTATGGCATCCCACTGTTTAATGATGTGCTATGGGAGAAAAATATTTTCTCTTCTTTGCTTTAAACTTGCTATCTGATAACTCCATCTGAAGCTTCCTAATTCTTGTCCTATAATAAAGTGTTAATAATTCCTCCTTATTCACCCTCTTCATTCACTTAATGATTTTATAACCTCTCTAGTTTCTCCTCTCAGTCCTCTTTTTTTCCAGACTGTGGAGCTTTAGTTCATCTTCTGTAGTGGAGAAGCTATATCACACCTCCAGCCAGCTTTGTCGCCCCTTTCTGCATCTTTTCTAATTCTTCTATGCCATCTTTGAGAAACGGGACTAGAACCACACACCAGATATTCAAGAGAGATGCTCACTGCGGGTTTATAAGGGCATTGGTGAAGCTTTGCCCCTCCCCTCCTAATAAACCCAAGAGTCGATTCGGCTTTTCAACTACTACTGAGTGCTGAACCAATGTCCCAGGAGACTGATGTTTTAGAAACTGGTACTAAGTCTCTGCACAGTGATTACCCAAACGGCTTCACGTAGTCCTTACTGCCTCACATATTTTGTACTGCTTTGCATTAAAAAACCAAAAGTCGCTGGAGCTGCTTTTCAGGTGCAAGCTTGCCAGCAGGAATTCCTAATAGAGACTACCTGCCATATGCAGCCAACGCAGCCGAAATGGGGTGCCGAGTGTCCAGGCCAGCTGCAGCGGGCAAGACGGGCAGCATGCCTCGGGTTCAGGTTGCCTGGTGTTTCCTGGCACGAGATCTGCCTTCGCTTTCTTACAGCATCGCCAAAAGTGAGCGAGCTGAAATCTTCCCTGGGTGCCTACCTCAGGCTAGTTTAGTCTTGTTGGGAGTTGATTTTGGTTTGGGATTTTTGTGGTTTGGAGGGGGTTGTTTGGAATTATTTTGAATTGTTTGTTTCAGGCAAAACAGCTCCACCACTGCCAAGGAAGAGGCTAGGGAATGTACCTCTTATCCATATTTAAAAGAAATAAATTGTGTGATCTTTCATTTGGAAATTAGTAATGTTAGAAGGATTTGAAAAAAAGATTGTATTTGTGCGGATGATATTTGCTCAGCATTTTGTTTAGTAGGAGACTTCCGACATCACCACCAACATGCATCTAATTTTTTCCAAACCCTTAGTCTGTGAGGAGTCCTTCTGTGTACAACTTTCTTAGATTTGAATGGTTAAATTTGCAGAAAACCCTGCCCGGATTAGTCATGCTTAGCTCCTGCAGGTCATGCTGGGCCCAGACACCCAAATGGGATAGGAGGCCCGTCACTCCTGTCAACAGCAGGAACCCCAGGCTTGACGGGAAACAGCTCCAGGTTGCACCAGAAGAAACAAGCATCAGGCTGAGGAGGAGGAACGAAGTGAAGCAAAGGAGGCCAAGGAACTTAAGGGAAGCAGCAGGGGAAGAGCAGGAGAACCAAGATTCACTTTGATGCAAAGGACTGACCTGCTTTGGAGAGGAAAGAGAATAATGAGGGAAGTTGTTATTTATAGGATCCTGTTTTATTTCTGTCCTTCAGCCTGACTCCAGTCCAGTGAGCTTCCAGCCCTTACCTAAGTACCCGACTTTGGCTCCCTCCCATCCATGTGTGTCACTACCTCCAGCACCTCAAATGCCAACAAGCTGGATCCCTCCTCTGCAGGCAGGCATTTTCCTAACAAGTTACAAGTTTGAAATATGGAGCAGGCCAAAACCAAATACCATCACTTCCCCCAACAGACAAAAAACCAACCAGGACCTGTCAGCATTTTGCTGACTCCTCCCGATCACCCACTCTCCAGACACTGCTTTCTCCTGGCACCCACGATCACGAATAACATCAGATCCCAGCCAGTCGCATGGCGCCAGTGCAAAGTGAGCAGAAGCCAAGGCCGTTGTGGGAAAAAGGCCATTGTTTAAAAAAATTCAAATGATGTCACTCTACTCCTTAACGGTGTCAGTAAAACATCCTTTCCAATGGCAAGTGCCTCTCCCTGCAGTTGCCTGTGGTAAGGGTAGAAGGCATAGAAAGAAGTCTGCTTTTTAGAGGCTAGATCTTTATCATAAAACACCATGTTTCAGCATAGACTCCCTTCCCCCCTGGACACCGAGCCTAGCGGCACCGTGGTAGGGCCAGGTCCCTCAAAGGGACCTAACCCCACGTAAGGGCTTGTGGACAGCAGCGACGACTTGAGCGTGCTTGTTCTCAGAGGGAGGAGAGCCGTGCGTCCTCCTCGTTACTGTACTCCCACTTACTGGTCATCACCATTTGTGTTGTGACATCTGCTAGAAATCTTAATGATGGGTTGTGGCCCCAGTGGAGTAGGCATGAACAGATGGTAAGAGTTACGTTTCTAGTTATCTTAACACCTTTCCGGCAGGGTGTCATAAACACAAGTTAATTAAGCCTCATGCTAACCCTGTGATGCAGAGGTACAGCTATTTTTTTTCATTCTGATTTACAAATGAAGAAGCTGAGGGACCAGCTTACGCCTGCTACTCGGTCCTGAAGCCCAAGCCCTCCCCTGGCCTCTCCTCCTTAGCCGCTAGGTGCCTTCCCACCTGCCGGAAGATCAACACGTTTTGACCTGTTGCTGATGAAATTAACAGATCATGTACTGTGCCCCTGCAAAATCCTAAGTTTTCTTACAAAGATGAAAATCATGAGGAGTTTGAACGTTCGTTACTTCTCCCTACCTTGGTGCCCCAGAAGCATCTCCAGCCCGGGCTGCCCTCTTTCAAAAACCCAAGGGCCAGCCATGGCCTTGCCATGGATGCACTCCCAAAAGCACCCATACCCATAGGAGTCATTAGTCAGGCGAGGGATGACTCTTAATTGCCCATGAGCTGTATCTCTCTGTCATTGCCCATCACTTGGCCCTCATGATGCTTGCAGCTACGGATGAACCCAAAGAATGAAAGTCAGACCCGTCTCTCTTGCGCCCTACAGGCCACCCACGCTGAACTGCCAGCACCGTGGTAGATCCCAGACAGCATGAAAATCTAGGCAATGGATGACAGCTGTAATACCTACACCTTGCGAGAGACATCCTGGGAGGTCAGGGAAGCTGCTGACACCCTCCAGTGATGCATCCTAGAGCTATGTGTAGGAGGACTACAGGAAAGAGCTGGCATGGCTGCAGAGCTGTGCTGGTGCACCAGAGGTGCTCAGGTAGACTTTGAGCAGGAAAGGGTTAGAATGAGGCTCCCTAGATATCCTGCCCTCCCTCCAAACCTTCATAGGAAAGGAGAAAACAACGTCAGTCTCTGTCTTGGAAGACATCTCCCTTCCAGCCTTCTTACCACTACCCATGAGCTGGCTCCTCTAACCGCAGGGAAAAGGCTGGACAAAGGGAGGCTGGGGCAAACCGGGCTTGGTGGGCATCACTCCCTGCCTGCAGGCAAACCACGCGCACCAGCAAGGCTGACTTCCCAGCCAAACAATGATCTCTTTCCACAGGCAAGCATCCCCTGAAATTGCATTTTATTTTTCAGATCAGTTTCTGAAAGGAAAAGCACAAGGATGAAACTTTAGGTTTTCCAGAGTTGTTAGGGGAATCTCAAACAGTCAGATGGAGAAATCATTAAAAGGACTTTAAGGTGACTCAAAGCAGACACTTAGAAATTGAG